TTTGATGATGTTTGTTTTAGATTATTTGCGAGAGCGTGGGCGTTAATATAAAACAAGAATCATCTCAATCCGACCAGCCGTTCTATGAAAATCGTTGTATCTCGGAAACCACTGGACGGATTTTGATGATGTTTGTTTTAGATTATTTGCGAGAGCGTGGGCGTTAACATAAAACAAGAATCATCTCAATCCGACCAGCCGTTCTATGAAAATCGTTGTATCTCGGAAACCACTAGACGGATTTTGATGATGTTTGTTTTAGATTATTTGCGAGAGCGTGGGCGTTAATATAAAACAAGAATCATCTCAATCCGACCAGCCGTTCTATGAAAATCGTTGTATCTCGGAAACCACTAGACGGATTTTGATGATGTTTGTTTTAGATTATTTGCGAGAGCGTGGGCGTTAATATAAAACAAGAATCATCTCAATCCGACCAGCCGTTCTATGAAAATCGTTGTATCTCCGAAACCACTGGACGGATTTTGATGATGTTTGTTTTAGATTATTTGCGAGAGCGTGGGCGTTAATATAAAACAAGAATCATCTCAATCCGACCAGCCGTTCTATGAAAATCGTTGTATCTCGGAAACCACTAGACGGATTTTGATGATGTTTGTTTTAGATTATTTGCGAGAGCGTGGGCGTTAATATAAAACAAGAATCATCTCAATCCGACCAGCCGTTCTATGAAAATCGTTGTATCTCGGAAACCACTAGACGGATTTTGATGATGTTTGTTTTAGATTATTTGCGAGAGCGTGGGCGTTAATATAAAACAAGAATCATCTCAATCCGACCAGCCGTTCTATGAAAATTTAAGAAAATCTTTTATTTGCGATCGCGTGGGCGTCGATTACTGAGCCGGCTATGAATTTTGTTAATACCCAATTTCGAATGAAATTACGTAAATCGAGTGTGGGGGGATATTCTTCAACCTAAATTGTTTTTTTTGTCTTTTTCGTCATAGTGAAAATTGAAGTTTTATAATGAATGAATATTAAATAAATAAAGTATTCCGGAAAACATTAGATAATATATGTATCACATTATATAGAAGTCAAATAAAACGAAACATTGATGTATTAAGTTCCTGTTAAGTCGGCTAACAGTAAACTCTATCAGAGCCTCATAAACAGCCCAGCCAATCAGCGATTAGTTAGAAGCTATGCTACTAAAATAACGAGATCCTGATTGGCTGTTTAACATACTGCTACTATGGAATCTCAAGGTCTCTTAATTACTATAAAACCCCTGTTTTTCTGTACATAAATGAACCTTGTAGTAAAGTGCTTCTCTGATATCCGTGTCTTCTCTCTGGTCTTCAAGTTGCTGTATAGTTCTAGCTCGGGGATCCGAAACTAGCTTAGGGAAGCAAACATAACGTTCACAAACAGCAGACGTAACAGTTCCAAAATGGAACAGACTCAGAGTTTATTTTTTGGTGCATCAGATATGAAAAGGATGAATAGAAACTGGAAAGGAAGGCTCAGGACAGAGTTGGATGGAGAATGCCGGCGAGCGGCCTATGCTCCTCGATGAAGGGTAACAGGCGTAAGTAAGTAAGTAACCAGATCACTTAGGGCTCACCATTGAAGTTTGACAACTCTTTACCAGTAACACCTATGATCTGATCGCTCCCACCCAGTGGAAATCATAAGCGAGGAGGTAAGAAGATATATTTGATGGGCTATCAATATATCGAGAAGTGGCTGATCTAATCTGGCTAATGATCGCAGGAGATGTTTCCCACGCCGTTCCAAAACGTAATATGGTACGGATGCATGATAGAGCGCCTTCAGCTAAACGAGCCCACGAAGCAACAGAAGAGCCAAAGTGTACACTACAAAACAGAGAAAGCTAAACTGACACTTTTCGCATTGATTTTGCGGATTTACTGCAGCGAAAAAACCGATATTCGTGCAATCCATTGGAGACCTAACAGAGCGTCAACAACTCAAATACGGAATGACCGACTCTTGTTAGGCATCCAAGGTCGTTAAAACGAAACGGCGGGCAGCTTTGAAAAGCTCTGGCTTTTTGTCGGTTCTATCAAAGCTGGTGGTTGTCAGATGGGTTCGTCAATTAGTTATAACAGTGGTCAAAATACCGGAGTAGTATCAGCAAACATGTACTCCAAGAAGTTCTATTGACCGTTTACAGCTTTGTCAGACGACAGGAGTAAGTTGTAATAAATGTTCCTATTTAAAATTATCTTGCTTATATTCTCCCTAACTGTAGAGCGTATTCATCTTAGCAGATTTTCATCTAATAATTGAATAATTATGACTTAGACTCAGATATTTGGTACCCCAGTCTGGAGGGTTCGAACTAGTACCTCTAATTAAAAGTCGTGTTTCATGGTTTAAATAAATGTTTAGAGTGCATTATCTTTACTCATATATCTATGAACTTTGAGCAACATGTCAAAGTATATGATGGAAATCGTTTGTGCACATCACTCTAGCATTAGGCGAAAAAAGACAGCTAAATAACCTTACTTTTGAGAACTTCCATAAGTGTTTTCGACAAGGAAGATAGAGTAAATTTACTGCCACAAATAGTGAGTATTTAGGGATAGATGAGCTCGAAGTAAATGATAAAAACTAATGTATGATAATTGTATTTAATTCCAAGACCTAAAATCCTTGGTATTAGTTATGAACTGAATTTCATCGACTCCTAGAATAGCATTGACACAATAAGACGATATTTGTGTATCCTTGATGATATTTCATCGTTGAAACAAACATCCAACCAAATAGTTAACTGAGACAGTATTTAAATTACTTTAAGAAGATACTCCTGGTTTTCTGCTTTGAGGAATGTTCACATTTCCATGGGTTTCTGTAAAATGACCAAATATATATTTCATTTTTCCTACTGTTTCTCTAAAATCAATTTTCAGCCAACTTAATTTCAGGTACTATTTCTTTCGGTGTTTTAGAAGACGATGAAGTCACTACCAGTGTATGCTTAGATGCTTCTGGAAATCAATGCAAATCGAAATCAAGTGATAACTCATTACATACATCAACAAATACAACTAATATTATTAATTAAATTAATAATTACAACGGAGCTTATTGTAAAGAGCAATCAGATCATATGTCTAGTTCATCATCGGCACACTCTACACATACAGCATTGCCATCAGCTGTAACTGTTTAGAGTTAACGGCGTTGGAGGGTATGTGCGATACTTTCTTCGTCTACATTTTATTGTTTCTTGTTCTACATGTAACACTCCAATTTTTATACACACTACTGCTTTTAAGATTCCGACTCCCTGATAAGTTAATAGCTCCTTTCCAATTATTAAGTGAGTGTACTTCAATTTGTCGTAACACTTGTTATTTGTCGGTGGTTTGTACGTCAGTGGATCTATTTAAGTCTGAATAATGTGTAATATATGGAAGACTACCGTTACTTTATAAATAATATGAGGTCAAAAAAAACATATTTCTCATCATCCTTGTTATTGTATTTAATTAGGTATATACTGTTGCTCTTCATTATTGTCATATCTTTTGTTTCCCTTAACCAAGCTGTACTCACGTTTAGAGTATATTAACCTGTTTTACTTCTCCTTCACCCATTGCTATTACATTTGTATTTTTTTATCCTGTGCCTGAGGAATGTTTTCTCACTAACATTAAATTAAATGTTTCCGTCTTCTAATGCACTGACGAAACCATGATTGGAATGCTGTCATTCGTATGTACGAAATATAAATTGTGTTACACCACCTTTCGAAACAAATCTGATCAGTGCTTCGGTAAAGATAAAATTAGATGCAGTCCAACTGACATGTGAATGCTTTCTGTTACGTGAATCTTTGAGACGTGTCGATTCTAAAACAAGCTGCAATCTGAGTTGCCTAGTTTAATCGAGTGTTTACAACTAACTAGCTAAGATTAATTAAGGTTAGGAAAACCAAGGATCGACGACAAAATTTAGTATTCCAGGTGGTCTGCGGAGAACTGTTCTAAAATCAAATAGGCAAGTGAATTAAGTGTTGAGAACAAGGTCAAGAATATTCACCTAATATTAATTACGACGCTGTATGCTAACATACACCATTTCTTCATGAACAAACCATGGGATTTTTTGTATTGAATCAGTAATAACAAGAGACTATTAACTGCCAGGCAGTTAACATCTAGAATGATCAACCTCGTCCTTAACCCTAATACATTCGGATCACACTATATATGAATCCTCTAAATGGACTCATCCCTTGATCTAGCTAATCGTAAATCAATCTTAGAAATTGTCTGATTTGTTGCCGCGGAGAATGAGATTTGAACACTAGGCCAAACACATGTATGTCTCGACAATAACGTACCATTCAATCAGACCCAAGAAACGAATTATCGTGTAATCTCTTGTCTAACGTCCTAAAGCGCCATAAATGCGATTTGGTAATCTCCATGTGTTTACGGACTACGCGACTAGTAAGAGAAGCCCAGTTTTTAAATGTGCACTAGCAGGATTGTCATGCTTCTGGTCAACTTCCAAAGCTAAAACTCGCTTTCTGGGAAGCTAATGCAATGTGACTGGAAAACCTGCCCAATCAAAAGGACAGTTCTTTAAGACTTGTTACTTGTGCAGCCTAGCCTAAGTAAGAACTGTAGCTGTCACAGCTCATCTTACTTTTATCCGAATACATTTCTAGCTTCGAACAAGCTTTTAACAAGTAACAGGCACTCAGTGCACACACCAAAACTAACTCCGTAGATTATGTCGGGAAATCGACTATCAGTTTCCTACCAGCACTTTCCCATAAAACATGGATTGTTTGTTGCACATAGATAGCAGATATTTTGATCAGTGTAGTCCACTACCATACGTTTTATTATTGGTACTGACCCAAAGATAGCATGATATAAACATCATATAAAGTTAGTAGTTTGTTTGTAGTAATACAATACAGCCTTTAATTTATTTGAATAGCCAACCACTCAGTCTACAGGGAGAAAATGATAATCAAACCGTAGTTTATTCATGGATCCAAGGGTCAACGGCTTGTTTATATTGACATAGTTCTTGTGGAGAAAACCATAAGTTGATTTCCCTGTTAGCACTTTCAGTTGAGTCGGATCCATGGACAACATTTCTCCCTACATCTTGGCAGTAGTCTCCCCTTATTGATCCAGGACAACTTGCTTCAGGTTTAGTAGCACCTAACATTGTACGTCCGTTCTCAACAACCTAAAATAAAAAAACATGGTCGGTAGAAAATGTATATTCATTAATACGCAACGAGGAAATTTTAAGTGGTTAGAAACTGTCACTGTTGAATTAGGAACAGATAGTAAATATGGTCGACAGTGAGGGGATACCAAGTGAACACTATAATGATTGTGGGACCTGTTCACATGTAGCGAGGTTTGGAGATTCGTAGCTTGAGTTGAGTTATACTTCTGATGCTGTTTGCTTAATTTAGCACAGTCCTGATGACAAGACTTGTAGGATTAACGGTTAACTGATTTTCGTACATTGAAGTTAAGAACGACTTTTATATCTAGCTTTTATCCTGCTAGTATAAATCACCTTAGATGTACTACCACAAACAAACAGAAAAAGGGAAAATTGAAAATGGTTGATGCTAACATGAAACTTGAATTCAGTGGCCTGTCGCAGTCGTTAAGTGGTATAAAAAGCACTTTTGCTTAATACGATATTGTTCTAAGGATACATGTTCAGTTGAAGTTGGTCGTGGAGACTGGAAAACTGAACATTTGCAAGTTCTTATCATACGAACTATTGATTCACCTTAACGTCTTCATATGCATGCTGATAGCACCAACTCATATGTATAGACCGATGTAACTGTAATAGTACGCAGCGATTAACATTTAAAAAAAAATAAAACTTCTCAGATATTTAAAAGAAGTTTGTTCCTTCGGACTTGATTTTATTTTACTTCGCTGCACAACAGTCTAAATGATTTACGTTTCGAGGTCATTTAGATGGATCCTGAGCAGTCTGACCCTACGAGGATATTTATTGTGCTAATTCCCTAGCACCTTTACGGCGTACTTTAATAATGAAATATTTTTGGCCTCAACATAAAACTAAGGATACCTTTAGTTAAAACGAAGTATGTTAGGAAATTGTCGTATGATACTAATGTCTAATATGTCAAAGCTTTTGTTTGAGTTGACAAAACTTATTAATACATATTCAGATTATGAAGTTACAAAGCCTGAAATGTGTTGTGGGCTTTCCAACTAAATTGAGCAGTGACAGCCCCCAAATGCCCTGGTACGGCTGAGAGTGAGGAGAGTCTGCTCTCCCTCTCGAAATACTCTCACATGGCCGCGCGTATATAGCCTCTGCCCGAGATGTCCTACTCACTGTCTTCCCGTGGTCCTACTGTTGTTTACGAAATTGAGAGGACGAAAAGCGAATATACGGCGCTTTAACCGGGTTGGTGGACACGGAAAGTTCACCGAGGGGAGTTGGAAAACCCTGATTTCAAACCAATGGTGCACATGGGCTCCAGGATCCTGAGGGAACAAATGGCGTATGAACCAATAATTGGTTACCGATTACCATGGGACTGCACGTGGAGAACTACTACGGCCATCATCAGGAAGGTACAAGTATTTATAAACAGTTGTCTACGCAAAATACTCAACATCCACTGACCGGATACTATCAGCAACAGCGTTTTATGGGAGAGGACAAACCAGCTTCCAGCTGAAGAGGAATTTAGGAAAAGACGTTGGAAGTGGATCGGACATACATTAAGGAAATCACCAATGTGCATCACGACTCAATCCCTAACTTGGAATCCGGAAGGGAAGCGGAAAAGGGGAAGGCCAAAGAACACACTACGCCGGGAAATAGAAGCCGATATGAAAAGGCTGAATAGTAACTGGAAAGGAAGGCTCAGGACAGAGTTGGATGGAGAATGCTGGTGAGCGGCCTATGCTCCTCCACAAGGGGTAACAGGCGTAAGTAAGTAAGTAAGCATCTCCTCACGATGCTCCACTGCCTTGTGGATCTCACCTTTAGGTCGAAGGCTCAGGGTGTGGTTCTCTAAGAAAACCACGTGCTTTAATTTGGGCACCCGGGCAATATGACAGCCGTCACACAAATCAAATGAGATGTGTGGCGAATATATATCTGGTGCCACTTGTACCAATATTTATGTGTTTAAATAAAATAAGTATTTATGTGAATAGTGAGAGCAAGGAAAAATAAGGACACGCTGTTGCCCCTTCGTCGTATTCACCTACGAAAACACTGACTGTAATTCTGAAAGGATGAGTTTTACATGAAGTTTTCTGTCCTATTACAAAAAGCCAAACGTTTGGGCAGTAATCGTAGGAGACTTCAGCGCTCAAGTTGGTAGCTCAAACCAGAGCGAGTTATAATGAGATGGGCCTTAGTATTCCAGTTACATGAACAGACAATGGTAACCAGCAATCTTAATAATGCTATTATATATATATATATATATATATATATATATATGTATAAGTTACAACACACTACTAATCCTGATATTTAAATACACGACCGGGAGCAATCACTTGAAGTGATAAAATGTTTTTAATTAGTCTTTTGAGTCACAAAAGGAAAAATCAAGGGATTTGTTCAAGAGGCTTAAAAAGGACTAATGAGGAAAAAGTGAATACTAACAGTGCTTACAGCCGTGACCAGTAGCCTAGTGGATAAGTCATAGAGTGAAGAGATGATAACGAGTTTTAAGTCTCACTGAAAATATCAATACTAACATTCAGGCAAAATTCACCGTCTATTCATATTGGATAAAACGCTTTTCCAGGATATCACTACAAGCCACTATCCTGAAAATTAATGGTTATCCTAATTATTACTTTGTTCTCGGTTTAATACATGAAAGAGAAAAAAAAGTACGAAACATATTCGAAATTGTAAGGAAAAATATACACGATATATGAATAGGTTTACAGTTCATTATAACAGTAACATAATCAAGAAATAGTTCTATACGATCATCATAGAAGCTTATATTTGTTGTTTAAATTTCTAAGGCCCTATACAATCATGAACTTCAATAAAAAAAACTATATTTTTGGACAGTAGCTAGCAATATAATTCAGAACATGGGTTCTATTCTATTTTGAAAAATTCAGCTAGATATACTTGTTTCTTCAATTTTGATATTTCTTACTGGAACGGTATCTGAGAGCAATACATACTATTCAAAATACAATCAGGTGGTATCATAACAATTATTTAACATCATCCAGAAATAGCGACTTATCACCCCTATCTTGAATAACCATTAGGAGGCAATAAAACGCCTTCAACTAATAATTATATATAAGTTTTAAGAGCATGCCTTATTGATTAACGCATGTACGAAGTACAGATTTGTGTACTCAGATTTGAGCAACACTAATTGTATAATGGATAACAATACCACCGGGCTGCTGATACCTGAGTATGTGAACAGCGTTCCTAATGTGGGAAATACCAGTTGAAAGTTAAGTGCTTAAAGAAATTAGTTACCATTGCTCTATTTGCGTCAGTCATTCACCTACGACGTAATCCACGAGTATCCTCTACCATTAATGGCTACGTTTCGCAGACGTAAAGTAGAACAGAGAGAACAGCTGCGCAGTATACTCGTCCCTTAATTGATAGACGGATATCTCGCCTTTGCCGTAGGTGACGTAAGTTGGCAAAAGCCAAACAAGCTTTTTGAATCCGTGCTGAGATTTCGTCAGACACTAACCCATTATTGCTGATCAGACTTCCAAGATAAGTGAAGTTGTCGACGCGTTCAACTACTTCACTCCCTATCCTTAGTTCAGGTATTGACACTGACCAGAACTGGAGTAACAATTTACATTTACAGGGGTAGAAACGCAACCCGAATATCCTTGAATTGTTAACCAGTGCTATCAAAAGACTGCATTTTATCAGCATCTTCACCAAACAGAACTATGTCATCCGCGTATTCTAAGTCGATAAGTGGAACTCCTGGTAGGAGATCAATTCCTCAAAATTCAGTCGACGAGTGTTATTTCTAGCAGTAGATCTATGATCAAGTTAAACAAAAATGAAAAAAGTGGATAGTCTTGTCGGGCACCACTTGAGGTTGTCAAATCAAATGACAGTTCGCCATAATCTCTCACTCGACAAAGTGTTTGAGTGAAGAGCCCCGCACAAGGTTTATGTTACTTCTGAAGTACGCCCTTCAATGACAAAGACTGCCACAGAACCTCTCAGTCTACAGGGTCAAATGCTGCTTCTAGGTCAAGAAAAACTATCACTGTCGGACGCCGATAAGCATGCCTGTGTTATAAAACCTGACGAATAGTGAATATGTGGTCGATACAGTCACCACCAAGTCTGAAGCCAGCCTGGTTTGCTCGTCTTAGTTAGGCGACCGACAATTATTGAGGTTAGTATTGGTCATATATATATATATATATTGGTCAAACTAATCCCTCTATAGTTATCACAGGATGATTTTGGCCCCTTCTTATATATTGAGATAATCAATGATTGCGATCAGTCAGATAGGATTACGTGCAACTCCCGGATCTTAGTCAACCTAGTCGCTAAAATTGGACCACCATCTTTAAAGACCTCTGGAGGCAATCCATCTGGGCTAGCTGCTCTTCTTGTTTCAGATTATCTATATGCTTTTGAACTTCAACAAGAGTCAGGGGATCTATTTCAATGTTCCATTCACACTTTTACCGGGAGGCTCACTTGTTGACTTAGAATACGCCGACGACATAGTTTTACTTGGTGAAGACGCTGATATAATGCAGAGTCTTCTGACCACTATAATCAACTATGCACGCATGTTCGGGATGCGATTCTCTCCCTCGAAGTGCAAAATGTTACTTCAGGATTGGGTTGCATCGACACCTAAACTATTGATAGGAAGTGAAGTAGTTGAGCTATCCGCTTCACTTATCTTGAGAGTCTCATCAGCCCTTGTGGTCTAGTATGCGACGAAATCTCAGCACGGATACAGAAGGCTCGTCTAGCTTTCGCCAACTTCCGTCATTTATGGCGTAGGCGAGACACCCATCCAGCAACAAAAGGAAAAGTTTACTGTGAAGCAGTTCGTTCCGTCCTACTTTACGGCAGTGAAACATTGCCAATAAGAGTAGAGGACATTCGTAGGCTACTAGTGCCCCCAAATGCCCTGGTACGGCCGAGAGTGGGGAGAGTCACCTCTCCCTCTCGAAATACTCTCATATGGCCAGCGAATATATAGCCTCTGTCAGGGAAGTCCTACTCACTGCCTTCTCGCGGCGGGGGTGTTGTTTACGAAAGTGAGAGGACGAAAAGTGAATGTCCGGCGCTTTAACCGGGTTGGTGGACACGGAGGGTCTACCTAGGGGAGTTGGAAAACCCTGATTCCAAACCAATGATGCACATGGGCTCCAGTATCCTGATGGAACGAATGGCGGATGAACCTGTCATTGGTCAACGGCTACCATGGGACTGAATCTCCTCACGATGCTCCACTGCCTTGTGGATCAGATATTCAGGTCAAAGGCTCCGGGTGTGGCCCCCTAAGAAAACCACCTGCTTCAGTCTGGGCACCTGTGCAGTATCACAGCCCTCACACAAATCGAATGAGATTTGTGAGGCGCATATTTATCTGGTGCTTCATTGTACCAATATTTATGTGTTTAAATAAAGTGTTCGATCATAGGTGTCTTCGAAACATTGCTTGTATATCCTGGGACCACCGGGTAAGCAATGCAGTTGTTAGGAAACGAGTACTAGGTAATGATGGCAAACCGATTGATGAAGTAGTGAAACTTCATTAGTTGAGGTGGCTGGGACATGTGTTACGTATGCCCAACCACCGACTGCCCCGATGTGCAATGTTTTATGGTGTAGGTTGCAAGAAAGTTTGCAATGGCGAAGGTGCATCCACTCTTTTTGTTCTAACAAATTCTAGTTTTCTAAATTCCCTATCCTTTTTCTCTTTCCAAATTTATTTCGCTGCATTATATTCCTTCAAACCCTTATCTTTCAAATAATGCTTATACTCTTACTACTTCTACCACTATGGGATTTCAGTCAACTTAATCTCTGTGCTAATGTCGTATGGCTGCTCGAACTGATGTACGTACGTACGCAGTGACTGACTTACATTCAGACTGTTTATGAATTGTGGGTAATTGTAGAGTAGCTGAAGGCCAACTTAACTGTTCTCTAAAGTGTTCCGCCCATCGTTTTAAACGTCCGGGCTGAGAGCACATAAGAACTTCGTCTTTTCCCGAGATCGCCTCGCTCACACTTGACCTCTTAATTTCGGTTTCTTCTATTTGTCTAAAGAGTTGCCTATAGCCGCTGCCGTTTCCATATCTTTTGCTTTCGTTGCCCACCACTGCTTACGATCGTTCCTTAGACTTTTAGTCAACCTAGATGTGATTTATTTACGCTCTTCGTCGTGTTCAGAGCCTGATGGGATGAGTTTACGCGAACTCATCATTGCAATGAACTTAGAAGAAATCAACTGGTTTTTTTGAAGTCCTTTGGTAAAAATTACTAATAGATGTGGCTGCTGTTATCACGACTGTTCGTAACGGCCCCATTTGCAGAACTCGCGAGGGCCAACCAACCACATATCCTTAGAAATTAACGTATATATTTCGATTACCAAGGCCAGATACTTTGGTGACCGGTGACGTGAACATCACATTGCCAAAAAACAATGCGGATTCATGTGGTACACCTTTGGACTGACCATGTTGTGAGTCTCACCTTGTGGATTCTGAGCGAGCTGCGATAGAAAATTAAGGGGAAATGCGACAACCCCTCCGCAATAAATACTACTGGTCAATGGTTTTCCCTCAAAATTTCAGGTCGTTTTGTGGAAACTCTCAATACGTTTGAAGAGAATATGCATTTTAAACATTTCTTCGTTTCGGGAAAAAACCCTAAATTCCGGAGTTTGGGATGATTTGTAGATATCTGGAGAGATGAGAAGTATCAGTACATTTTTATAAAAAGTCCCGCCTTGAGCTTTTACTTACCTTACGCCCTTCAAATACCATTGGTACAACAGGTCCAGATGACATATATGCAACTAGTTTCGGGAAAAATGGAAGGGATTTGAGGGCTTCGTAATGCGTTTGAAGCAGCTGTTCTGAGGCATGCATCATCTTTATAGCCACAAGTTTATAGCCTCGCCTTTCAAATCGTTGTATAACCTCCCCAACAAGACCTCGTTGCACGCCATCAGGTTTGACCATAATAAACGTCCGTTCCATGATGAGATAACAACCTCAAATAAATTTGCGCTTAAGTAATGGACATGAGAAGTGTATTCAAACAAGATCTGAATTATCTTATCTAGACAATTGTTTATGAATACATGTGTATTTTTGACTATGATTGTATTATTTTTTCACGTTTCAGCTTCGTATAATAAAACGTTCGTATTGAAGATCTTCACTTTGATGTTTCAGTATCAGTTTGGAAAGGACAGGAGGCTTGATGGCCTGTGTTGGTCATGGCAATGATGGTCTCTCAGCTGATCCAGCTTTCTTCTGAAAGAGTCGACGGATGGAGCCTCAACCACGTGCTGAGGTAATGAATTCCACTCGTTGATGATTCGATGGGAAAGTCGGTAGTCAGCTGACAAGTAATTCGTTCTGGGCTTGTGAATTTTTTTGAAGTGTGCTCGTAAATTTTCTGTCTTGGTAGACAAGAAAAATGAGGGCATATCAGGTTCAAATTTATCACTAAGCAATTTGAAAACTGTAATCAAATCGCCTCTGATTCTTCGATATGACAACGGGAATAGGTTTAGCTCGGTCAGTCTAGTACCATACGGGAGCTTCGCTATTCCGGGAATCAGCTTAGTTGCCATTTTCTGGACCCTTTCCAAGAGTTCACTGGCTTTTTTTAGGCAGGGGCTAGCTGCTTGTATGCAGTACTCAAGTTTAGGGAGTACGAATACTGTATACAAAGTCAGAAACGTTTTAGCGTCGAGATTACTAAAAGCCCTGCGTATGGACCATAAAGTCCTAAAACCTATGGCGGCTATTGCACGGTAGTGTGCAGTAGTCTTTAAGTCTTGGCTAACGGTGACTTCTAAGTCATTGTGTGTCTGGACAATAGGTAGCTCAGTGTTATTCATCGTGTATGTACCCTGGTGGCCAATGTGCATCATAATATACTCGGAAGTATTTATTGGCGATTGGGACCATTCAGATAATTTCTCCAGGTCGATTTGGAGTTCTAAGCTATCACCCTTGCTTCGTATCGCCCTCCACATCTTGACATCATCAGCATAGAGAAAGATCGATGACGATAGCAGACGAGGGAGGTCATTCCTTAGCTTATATAACAGACGGTTGTGCGGAACTTTGTCGAAAGCTTTGCTGAAGTCAATGTAAGCTACGTCTACAGGTGACTTTTGGTCCTTAAGAGAGCATCAGCTTTCAGGAGCGACTAATAAGTTAGTGAGACAAGAGTAACCTGTTCTAAAACCATGCTGCTTCTCCGAGAGGATCCGGTTTTCATCGGGATACTTAAACATCTCCATCCGGATATTCTTTTCTAAGATTTTAACAACCACACTAGTTAGGCTAATGGGTCGGTAACACTCAGGCTTATGTTTTGTACATGTTTCGAAGACAGGACTTACTATGGCGTTCTTCCAGTCTTTTGGTAGACGACCCTGGGTTACGGATAGAATAAAACATATACTTAAAGGGTTCGCAACAAAGTTAGCTAATTCCTTTAGTAACCTAGGATGCAGGATGTTGGTTGACAGTTGCTTTGAGTCCTATGTAATCTTCAGTTGTAGGAATGCCTCCCTTGCCTTGTCAATCCTTGCATTTACGCCTGCATCGGATCCTCCTTGTTTATCGGTGAGGTGGTCTAGGTATGTAGGTTTCCACCTCTTTCACGACCTATCCACCAATTATGATTTCATTGGTGCTGGTTGTATTGTATTTTAGGGTCTTGCATGTTCTCTTGTGTATGCTGAGGCCTGTTGATGCAGATTTTTCTTCTACGCTGATTGTCTTCATCTGCAATTATTCATGAATATAGGATGGAAGAGTCAGGTCGTCTGAGAAAGTCTAAAGCCTCTTGTTGCATCAAGTCTGTCAATCGCATTTCGTACTTCCTCTCAGATGTGGAGGTCTTCACAGTGCAATCAATAGTGAGAAGAAAAAGAAAGGGGGCAACCCAGTCTGACTCCTTTCCTCGCCTGGAGTGCGTCTGTCAGCTTTCCTCTATGCACGACTTTGCACTGTAGCTCGTCGTATAAATTCCGGATGATGTTGACGATCTTTTTAGGTACACTATAGTGTCGAACCGAGTCCCGTAAGGTTCTCCTATTCACACTGTCAGACACCTTTTCATAGTCAGGGGAGTTGGTGCATGGTGACGAGTTCCATTCGATATATTGCTAAACAATGATACGTAGTATTGTAGATGGCGTCGAGTCCAGATTGACTATGATCACCACTACAGTAAGATTACGCGCCCGAAAATGACTTGGTTCCCTTGATAGTTCGTAAACCAGAAGGCTGTAATTAGTCCAGATAAGGTATATTTATTGCCGATCTCGTGGTATCGAAAGAATACCGGGACGTGCCAACGAGTACAGGCAATAAGGGAAGAGCGTAAGAAAGTTCGAGCGAACAAGGCGGACGACCAGACGGGAAGTGAATTTGATACAGTTAAATAACAACGAGTACATTAAAACAATCACCGGTACAATTGGTTATAATAATAATTGTTTCCATTATACCAATCGCGTTCTCGTCGAGAAAAGCAGGTCACTACAGTGTCAACATTTGGTCTGTTCACGACCGATCCTTAAGGAATCTAGCCTGTTGATCTCAAAGTTGGGCGTCTACTGAATCTTTCACCCACCTCAGTAACACTCTGTTGAAAACGTTTCCTGGTACTGATAGTAGTGTGATGCATCTGTAGTTTTTACATTTGCTCAGATCTCCTTTCTTTGGCACCTTCATGAGATATCCTTCTTTCCAGTTCGTCGGCGCCTGTTTCTCCTCGCAAACCTTCCTGAATAGAACGTGGAGCATCTTTGCTATTGCTTCTATGTCTGACTTCAGTGTTTCAACAAGTGTGTTGTCAGGTCCTGCTGTTTTTCAGTCTTGGTTCATGTGATAACCATCCTGATTTATTCGATCGTTGATGGAGAGACATCCATGTCCAATGTATTCAATAGAGCTGGTCTGTTCAAGAATTCATCAAGGTGCTCTGCTCACCTGTTTCTTCATTGTGTCATACGGTTGTTACATAGTTTCTTCCCATCCAGCCTTTTCTGTTATCGCTGCTAGGTCTTCCATGTATTTTTGCTTGTCAGCTCTAATGCTCTTCCTCATTTGCTTTTTTGCTCTTATGTATTCAGCCTGTATCTTGACCTTCTCGACTCTTGTCCGGCTGTTGTTAATTGCTGTCTCTTTGTTCTTCCTTTCTTAAATCTTGTCCAGGATTTGGTCGTGCTAAGTATTTATGCAATGCAACTTTTTAAGTTTATAGCCGTTAAAAAGTAGATTTGTAGAGCGCTTGATGTGAACTATGAACTTGAGAAGATGCATACGTCGAGTTTGTTCCAGATGTCAGAAGTTCTATAGCTTTGCCCTCAGAGCGAAATTCTGAGGAAGGAAAAAGAAAAAAAGAGAAAACGAGGAGCAGAAAGGCATTTGGACATGAACGATAAATAATGCTTCACATTTAGTGATGGAACAGACAGAGGTATGGCAAATTGTTAGATTTAATTCCTACTAGCTCTTGTTACTAGCGTGAAATGCGATCAGAGGCTCCGGATGAGAGAATGCAGTAATAAAGAACAATGAGTTGTGATATTTATCAAGGTGGAGTAAGTTCAAATGAAGGAAGGGAAGTCGACGTTTTTAGCAAGCTTGTTTTCTATGAGATACAGTTGTTGACCCCGTACCCTACCCTTATCCTTTACCTGGGCATGAGACGGACAGCAACACATGTGGAGTCCAAGATTACCACGCAAATGTAAAATTCACATGAACATATACTATGATCAAGTATATGGCGACTACATCTGCTCGTTCAGTTCTCTTAATTAGCCTTTGTTTAGTTGAAAACAGTCCGTAAGATTGATACTTTCGTTGGTAATGCCGAGCCATTAACAATGAATTTTGAGATACGAAATATGAAGTCCTCCCTAGACTAGGATCAGATTATACAGAACATTAGAAGGCCAAACTGTGACATTACACTGACTTTTTAACACTGGTGGCTGAAATAATCACCCTGAAATACATGGGTGTAAATATTACAGAAAGAGAACTGTTATTAAAACACCATCTGTCATTGACCATTCTAGAAAGCCAGTGCCACAACTTACTTTTAATCCGGCAGGAAAAGCGCTTCAACAAAAAACTTTACTAACCTAAAGCGACTCTTCAGTTACCCGCTATCTCTAAAACAAACTGAATGAAAAGTTGACACAGGTGACGATTACTCAGCAACTATGAACAATGCGGTAATCTATGATGAAAATAAAAGACCTCTAGAGGCCAAGTCAGGCTTTAATAAGATTTTGTAACCCTCGTACTCGATAGAAAAAATTCGCCAAGTTTATGTGCATCTTGCAAGCATCAGACACTGGATGTCATTACTTCCTGACATATTAGTAACCTGAGCACATCCAAAAGTTTGTAAAAGATGAGAGATGACATCGCCGCTCAGATTTCGCATGAAACCTTTAAGCAGGTGCAGTAAGATCCCTTTGAAGGTTTGGTGTGTGGAAATTTGTAATTTGTTCCTATTGATTCCTTCTGTTGTACTTTCTGGCAGTCTTTTCCATTCCATTTGAGTTGGCAATATTTGTGTTTTATTGTAGGGGCAGTGAAATGTCATTGAGCCCTAGATTAATCATCCGTCGGTCGGGTCCTGAATATCGTACAGATCATCCATCACCCAGCTTCAAACTATGTCAAGTAAATCTATTCAAAAAAATTTTCACCAACTTTCAGGCCTATTAAAAGGTCACGTCTTTGACTCCTACAACTGATGACTCAGTACCTGACAATCATAAACCCTCATCTTTTGAACCCTATCCACAAATATCACTAACACTAACTGATTCTCCATGTAACAACCCATCTATCTCTTCGTGCAGTATGCCAACGGTAAGACTAGTTGACATAAAAGGCAAAATACACACGTGCGTCGAAAAGTCGACACAGTCTAACAGACAGCATGCTTTACTAAGGCCTAGATCCAAAATACCAAAAACCAAGGA